CAAAAATTCCATAATATCACGTGAAACGGTAAACACTGTCAAATATCACAATATATCTATCATAATGCAGAATAATATAATGAATGTCATCAATCGCAACAAACATAAGTCGAATATCATAATATATCAAACTCCAGTTCCTCTACGAATATGCCGCCAATACTCGATCCTTGTCTGATACTGATCATCCCATCCTGCAACCGTCGCATCTCGGAATGTCCGCCAAAGGTTACAAATATGCGGTAATGGACAATCAGATGACAGATTCAGACGAATGAAGTGTTTGTAAGAACCAAGATGACCTATGGCGATCTCGCGGTCAGGTCTTGTAGCCGTGGATGGTGCGCACAACGGCAAAAATGTCATGCTATTGAAATCGATATTGTCATTTTTGTCACCACTGCCTAACAACACCACAAGTACATTATATACTGTAGCAATAGCAAAGAAGTCACCTACAACTTCCATCCAATGCTCCTCGTTACAAGGCCCCCCTTCCCATCTTATCCGATCGATTGCTCTGTCGGTTTCATAGTAAAACACAGGATCGTACAACTGTCTGTTGGCTACAATCTCATTTGCAATGTTCCTTCTTACGGTTGGCCACCTCAACTGGTTCATGTGCATGTAACTTGCAACCACCCGAAATCCGCAGTTCCCATCCGGCGTCACATCCAGATAGCTCTCTACGTAAGGGTGGATTACGTAGAGAATTCTCCAATAATGCGGATATTCGTAGAAAACCGTCGAGAAAGTATCTGTAATATCATAATAATTTCACGTCACAAATTAGATAATCGAACTTACAAACATAATTAGTTATCGTTCAACATAAACAAATAAATAAGAAAAAAAAATCACCTGTCGGCTCATCTGAATGTTGAGAAGATGAGCTTGTCGGTGCACAAGAAGAAATGTTGTTACGCCCCACCGGACGACCTCTTTCCCTGTAATCCCATACCGGTGGAGCACACGAAGAAGTGCTTTTACGCCCCACCCGGCGACCTGTTTCGGTGTACTCCGACTTCCATGGAGCACACGAGGAAGTGCTTTTACGGCGTCTTTCACTGTGCTCCCATTTCGATAGATCGCGCTTTGTTGAATTGGGCTTCTTGGGCCGACCTCTCGGATTATCCTTCACTTCAGGTTCTTTGTAACCTTGTTGGTCGGGGTGAAGTTGCGAGTCGATGAACTGATTCACGTACCGCAGCGTCGCGGGATCGGCCGCTTCAAGCTCCGCAGCAAGGCGATAAAAATAGTCACGATCAGTCCATCCGCTCGCCGGTGCACTCTGTTGACCTGTCCGCAAAAATAATTTATAAAATTAAACAACACACTCATAAATTAATCAATCTCGTAATTGTACCTGGGTCCGTCAGCTCTAGTGTGCACCAGAACCTGTGGATGAATTGGGTAGTAATTTCCATATCTATAGTGAGTGCCTTTCCTTAGCTCACAGGCACAAGGAAGTCCATGAGTGTACCAGAGTACACACCCGCAGCGATCGGCAACTTCTTCGCTCAACTCTCGCATCCTCTTAAGCTCATTATTCAATAAATCCATACAG